TTCCATTTTTCAGATAAGACTCTGAATCTCCAGAAGAATAAATAATTTGCCTAAAGTCTCACACCTTATTCATGGCAGAATCAGGACCACCACTCAGGTTTTGCTGACTCCAAAGCTGATGTTCTTTTCACCGCATTAAGTGACCTCTAAAAAGACCATGGGCTTAAGTCTTACCTGAAAGAGAAAAACAAACAAATGAACAACAAATCAACATGGTCTAGGGAGGAGAACATTGTATGACTGGGCCAGGAATAAAGTCCAAATTTTTCAATCCTTCTGTTCAGGGGCTGTGACATTAGTCCCCATCATCTGCTTTGGAAAGAAAAAGAAGTGTACAAGCAGAAAGGAGTCAAAAAGGTCTCACCAAGAACAACAACAGTCTTTCAAATCCATGTTCCAATGGAACAGACCACTGTGATTTGTAATGTGGTACCTGCATCAATCACATCGTGTGCTATGTAAGTCAGTAACATATTCAAATATACCTGACACCCGCAAACCACCTCTGCCACTGTTGCGTAGGGAGGTGGAAGTTCATTTTGTTCATTTGTGTTTGGTTGGTGATGCACTTAACATTGTTCTTCTTTCCAATTTCTGAAGAAAAAAAAAAGCCCATTTCCCATCAAATATATATCAAACATATATCCTCACTAAAAGAAATGATAATCCTTCACATTGAGTCAGCTGCAGGAAGGTTTTTTTCTGTGTTCTTAGGTCAGCCTAAAAATGTGTAGGTCAGATCAGGGATGGTGGCATAGTAACTATGTTGCAGTAGGCATGCCCTTGTTTATTATGATGCATGTGAAAAATGCAAATGCATTTCATGCTGCCTAAAATATTTTTAAACTTGAAAGTGGAAGGAGAAAAAAAAAAAATCACCCTGAGTCACAGATTCTATATTTTGTGGAACAGAATTAAATTATCTAAAATATTGCATAAGAAGGATCACCTAGGGACTCTTGTTCACACAATAACTTTTAAAATCCTTTACCCAATGCCATAGGTTTTTTAAACCCAGAAATTTGGTGGAGATGCCAAGGGTCTTTAAGCAAAAAAGAAGTAGAAATCAATGCTGGAATTATTATTTTCAAAAGGGTATTGACAGCTATAATAAAGTTATTGCAACTGGACCTGGGAATGTAAAGTCAGTTAATGGACTTTATTTAGACAACATCAGATAAGGACATTAGTAATAACTGTTATCTTGATAGATAACCTTAAATTCAAGAAAATGTTTCCCCAAACACAACTTTCTGTGAATTCTTTTCCCTTTTATCTTATAGTAGGCAGAAGATTGCAACCTCCTATTATGAAATAGCATCATAAAATGCAGAGCACAGTCACCCTGACTAAAACCACCATTCTCCTTTGCTGATACAGACAAACTAGCAGTAAATGCTTTTTGAACTCCTGGAGTGCAGATAAATTCCTATGAATGTCCCCAATTGGACCGGGAGATTGAGAGACACCAGGGAGAGAATAGCTGAGGCCAGGAGAATTTAACATGGCAATTAGCAACCCTTTGGCTTCGCTAGACCCCACAGCATAAGACAGGATGCAAGGAACCAAAAATCTCTCTAGCAGAGTAGATGATAAATTGGTTGGGTCCCAGGGGTTGCTGGACACAGTTATTATCCAATGGCAGGTCTGGATGATGTGGAAGTCTCTGTAGTGAGGTCAGAAAATGAAACACAGGGCTCTAAATTCCCAAGGAGAGTGCCTTGGCTTACATCTCAATCGGTGTGCCCTTTCCCCTCATTTTAGAAGGCTCTGGATCACATCACATCATCTGTATTACCTTCCCTATCTTAACTTCCAAAGCATCAAGTATATAAAACACTGTAACCATTATCACCAGTGATTCCCTCTTTGAAAAGTTAAGAAAGTGAAAGATAACCTTTAAAATAAAGCTACTTGAAGACTTTCAGATATATTTTTCTTTAAGCAGAGGGAGGGTATATGGAGGAAGAGAATCTTGATTCTCTTTCTGAATTTTGATAGCTGCTTTTAGTCACCATTTATTTAAACCATCACAGTATGGTTCGTAACAACTTTAGCAGTGTATTGAAATTCACTCTATAATTCCTAATTTTTTAGAGCTTTAGTTTCTTCATTAGAAAAATGAGGCTAATATCGTCTACTCAAAATGTTGCTGTGAAGATTAAATGAGGTGAAAAGTGAAAGTGAAAGTCACTCTGTCATGTCTGATTCTTTGTGACCCCATGGACTATACAGTCGATGGAATTCTCCAGGCCAGAATACTGGAGTGCGTAGCTTTTCCCTTCCCCAGGGAATTTTCCCAACCCAGGGATCGAACCCAGGTCTCCCGCATTGCAGGCGTATTCTTTACCAGCTGAGCCACAAGAGAAGCCAAAGAATACTCGAGTGGACCTATACCTTCTCTGGGGGATCTTCCTGACCCAGGAATTGAACCAGGGTCTCACGCATTGCAGGCATATTCTTTACCAACTGAGCTATCAGGGAAGCCCAAATGAGGTAATATATGTAAATTCTAAAAGACTACCTGGAGCTGAAGAAATTCTCAGAATGTGTTAGCAATAATGATAATGAAGACAAAGACGATGACCAAGGCAATAATAAAGATTGTTGTCAAATATCACTCTGGCTAGTTTTTGTAATCCTTAGATCACAGACCATATATACCTTGTTTATAGTTAAAGCCCCAGTACACTGCCTGAAGTACAATTAATATTTATTGGTTGATGGAATGATTGATTACATGAGTTTTTTTTAATGCCCCGTTCTCTACTTATGCTACTATTGATTTAACTTAATTATGAAGATTATTAGGAGTCATTAAAAAGGAAGTGGGAAATAGATTTAGTAAAATCAATGTCATCATTTGCATTTATTGAAGGACTACTACATGGAGAGCACACTGCTTGGAATACTGTATCAATTTGCAATGGGCATGAAAAGGAAGAAAATACAGAGGCAGCTTAACATGAAGATAATTTTCTAATAAAGGAGCCATGTAACAATTCCTCACACATTTCAATTCTGTTTTGCAAATTTCTAACTTTCCTCAAATTGTTGATATCAAGGGCCCCTCCTTCTCTCCTCCCCTTCTTCTTTCCTGTCTTCTCCTCTGCTTGCTTTACCCTCTCTCCCACCCAAAAAGTTTCTCTCTCTCTTTCTCTCTATCTCTTTCCTTTACAGTGCTCTTACAGGCTACATCCTTAAATAGTCTAAGCCCCCCCCCCCCCCAAAAAAAAACCCTGCAAATATTTCTTTTTCTATTAAAATTGGCCCTTGAAATTTTCCATTTAGATTCCATTTTATTTAAAACTCTGAGCCAATTATATGTCTGGGTTCTGCAGCATTGACCAAATAACATTTTTGATTGACCTGGGTCTCAATATTAAAGGAAGAGTCTCTCTCTCTCTCTCTCTCTCCCTCCCTCTCTAGTTAGTTCCTCTTATCTTCAGAGGTCTAAAGTGATCTTTGGTGGGTTGTTTAGCAATGTCAATATTAAAATTGAAGAGTATTTAACTAACTACTTGAGATTTTTATTTTTTGTAATACTTTGTGCCTACTGCTTTCTTTATCTTCCACTGGCATTTTAAAATACATAATCACTGATTTTTGGAAACATTTAGGAAAGTGAAGCCCAGCACACAGATAGGTGGACGCTGGCCCAAATTTTATAGCCTGGTGTTTGTATTTAGGTTTCCCTTGTGGCTCAGATGGTAAAGAATCTGACGGCAATGCAGGAGACCCCGGGTTCAATCTCTGGGTTGGGAAGATCCCCTGAAGAAGGGAATGGCAACCCAATCCAGTATTCTTGCCTGGAGAATTCCATGGACAGAGGAGCCTGGCAGGCTACAGTCCATGGGGTTGCAAAGACACAACTGAGCAAGTCTGCATTTGGAGCTCTGTTGAACTTGCAAAATCTTACCTTAGTGTAATAGTTTGAAAGGAAGTGCCTGAGAATGAATCAGATTTCCTGTCCTAATGCTGCACATGGTCTGAACCATTTTTTTTCTTCTGCTCCAAACAAAATGCCATTTGCCTAGACTTCTTCCATAGTAAACTAATTTGTGATTGGTCTTTTTTTTTATTTAGTTTTTTCTTTTTTCTGTCTTCTGTTTGTTTTTGTGATTGCTTTGTCCTCTCATGAATACTTGATTCCATCATTATCCAGTTTACTTGATCGACATTTATTAATTAATACTATGGGTGAGTCACCCCCAAACACAGACTAAAACAAAACATGACCCCTGTCCTTCAAAGGCTCTCCTTGTAATTCTACATGTAAAATAACCCTCTGCACCTTCACTGGTGTCTCCCTAAACCCCTTTATTTCTCTGCCTATCATTTATCTGCCTAACATGTTATATATTTATTTGCATATGGTTTGTCTTTCCCACTGACTCTAAGGATTCCTAAGATAGTGCTGGGCATAGTAGGGACATGAACAATTTCTAAATTAATTCATGAATGTTATAAGAAACACTTCAACAGGCTTTACATTTTTAGGCCTAGGTGGTAGTCACAGAGGTGTTGCCTTACAAGAAATCATTGAACTGCACGTTTTTGATTCGTGAGGTTTTTGTGTATGCCTTGTATTTCATAATAAAGAAGGCAACAACTCTAGGCTTCTTTTAAGCTTCAAGTCACATTCAATTAGTTATTTGTTAGCTATACCAACTAGTTCTTGGACAGCAAGGAAATCAAACCATTCAATCCTAAAAGAAATCAACCCTGAATATTCACTGGAAGGATTGATGATGAAGCTGAAGTTCCAATCCTTTGGCCACCTGATGCAAAGAGCTATCTCCTTGATGCTGGGAAAGATTGAGAGCAAGAGGAGAAGGGGATGAGAGAGGATGAGATGATTGGATGGCATCACCGACTCAGTGGACATGAGTTTGAGCAAACTTCAGGAGATAGTGAAGGACAGGGAAGTCTGGTATGCTGCAGTTAATGATGTCACAAAGAGTCAGCCATGACTGAGTGACTGAACAACAATCTAGGTAGCAAAACCTAGTTAGTCATTTACAACCTAAAGCTTTATTGAGCACCGACTCTGTTTATCTCACTATATGAAAGTAAGTTCAAAGAGCATAAAATTCTTTAAAATGTGACACTTTCTCACAGGCCAGGGGTATAAAGAAAAGCAGACTTAGCAATCTCACTTCTCCGGCCGTGAAAATACCTACTGAGCTGTAGATTTTGGAGAAACCCACTTGAGTGAGGGTGGTTCACAGAGGAAGGTGGGTAGACCAAATACTTCGTAAGATCGGTCTTTTTCCAGACTGAAAGTGGGAACAAAACCACATACAGATTCATTGTAAAAAGTCACAGATGCAAAGAAAACTGCTAATTTGGCTTCAGTATTTAAAATAAATTCATTTGATGAGTTTGCTCTGTTTTTTAGAAACATAAATCTGTTTCATAAATAAAATGTAGCTGGTAAGCCTGGTGGGGGTTCAGCATAGAGAATAAGATGGTACATGCCTTCTGCATGCCTCTCATTTTGACCACCTCTCCGGTGTGTGTCAGCAAGACATGCCCTCCATCGTAGCAGCATCACCCACGTGCCTGTGAGCCAGTGCTAGGATTTTGTGCCTGGGGCTATGGTTACATTTGATAAATAGGTTAGGGCCAGTTGTGTTAAATAAATATTTTTTATGGCTTATGATAGCCAATATTTTAGAAACCAAAGAAAATAATTATGTCCTACTTAAAGGAGTTTTATTTCAAACCCTAGCTAGGGCCCCACAGCGGCCACTGCTTACATTTTTCAAAATTGATTTTCCACCATATAAACAGTTAGTCTGAAGTTACGTGTGACACTTCCTCCCAGTAACAATGATACAGTATCTCTGAAGCATTTTCTGGTGTTTATCATTTTTTCTTTTTTCTGTATTGCTCATTTCTTTAACACAGTCTCTTCAGGAGAACTTGTTCCAGGGATTCTACCATACTAACTATTGACCTGTATGACCCAGGGAGCTAGGGAATTAGAAAACTTAAGCAGAATATTAATTTATCCTCGGAAATGAAAGTTTAGCTTGCATTAGTCTCCCCTCAATGAGTGTTATTCACTTTTGCTACAAAGCATTAAGGCCTGTGTTAATCAGCTCTGATTGTATTGCTCCCTAAGGCAAACTTGAGAAGAAGTTGGTCTTGAGAGTTTATCCAAGCTCTCTTTCTCTCCTCTATTAGAAACATCCACTATCTGCTTCTTCCCCGAGTCCCTGGTGCACTGGCTTCCCTGGGCCTGAAAATTGACCCAGACATGATGTCACAGCCCAAATCTACACAACTTCCTCTAAGGTCACCTGCGTGTGTATTCCTACCTGAGATCTCTGCTTCCTGTTTTGCACAGCAGCTATAAAAAGAATTAGGTAAAGTTGCTAATATCTGACAAAGGACCTATAGATTTTTTTTGGAGGTAAAAAAAGATCAGTGGACTTAGAAAGAGAAGGTCTCAATTCCCATACCAGTTCTTCCACTTAGCATTTGGGTGGCAAACTGATTGTTTATAAGACTTGCTTTTCTCACCTATAACATGGAATTGACAATATATAGCCTTCAGAGGCTCAAATTAGGTGGAGTAGGTGACTTTCCTTGCCAACTATAAGTTTAACAACAATATTGTTTTAATTCATGTGACTGGGGAAGAAATGTAACCTTTTTTACTTTTAGTACAAAGGTTGACCCCCTGCTCCACCCAGTGTGCAGGGCTTTTCCTGGAGAGCAGAGTATGGTGTTTTTCTGAGTTAAGAAACAGGTAGTCAGTTTCCAATTTGAACCCCACACCCAGCCCCCGGCCCTCAAGCTTCTGATTCATAAATGCTTTAGCTCCAGCAATCCTTCAGTGTGAAAACTCTCTGAGAAACCCAACCTCTTTGGACAGGTGACTTGCCTTAGAGAACCAGTGCATGCACAATGATAGTATTTATAAGCTGGGAGTAAGAACCCAGCCTCTGTTCCAGGCCTATAGCCCCACTAAATAAATCTAGGGCAAGTAGCATTGAGAGGGATGGAACAAACCTCAAAGACACTAGGAACCTCTGGCAAGAGAGGCTGAGTGTAACTGAATATTGTGTGGTGAGGTGTGGCCCCTAGGTGAAGCTGGTTGTCAAAGGAGCCCTCTCGGTACAAAATCCTCAAGGACGGGGGTCAGAGGGTGTCCACTCATCATGCCTGAGCCTTTGCTTCCCAAGTGTTTCAAAATGTGTAAGTGTGCATTTTGAAGTGCCAGACGAGAGCAGAGAAAGCAGTAGAAGAAATATTCCAAAAGTGAATATACTGAAAAACACATGTGCTGCTAAATAGAAAACCAAATATCATGAGAGGCCTCTGCAATGAAAAGGAACTGAAGCAAGTCTCCATTCTATAAGGCTCAGGTTAGTCAAGAAAGTTGTATGGCCAAAACTGCCAAATTCTGCAAGGCATCCCAACATTAGTGGGCTTTCTGGTCTCCTCTCACATGGAATCCACATCCACAAGGGCCCACTTCAGTAGGAAAATACTTTTAATTATTTTCATTGGCTTTCAAGCCACCAATACTCCTAGCCATGTCTTGATATAATTTTGTTCTAGAAAAAGTCTTGAGTGCCTCAAATCTATAATTAATCTTCTTTTCATGGGTTAAACTTAAGACATACATGTAATTGCACTATTTAATTTATGATCAAAGGAAATTCACAGAAATAGAGGATCCTGCATACACTGCATGACAATAAAATGATTCCTTTATCAATACATTAGATGAATCGGTTTCAATCAGTCCATTTAACACCAGTCAGATCTGTTGTAATGTTATGCTGGTTAGCCTCAGATAATAAACATATTGTGAATAAGCTCTCCTTAGTTCCAAGGACTGACAGAAGACTTCCTGTGTGTGTGTGTGTGTGTGTGTGTGTGTGTGTGTTAGTCCCTCAGTCGTGTCTGACTCTTTGCGACCCCATGGATTGTAGCCCACCAGGCTCCTCTGTGCATGGGATTCTCTAGGCAAGAATACTGGAATGGGTTGCCATTTTCTTCCCCAGGGAAGACTTCCTAGCCAACTCTGAATTACTGCAATTCCTAGAAAACTTTGTTGAACAGTGTGTGAGCAGGGAACTGCCTCTGTTTTTCTAGTATTACTGCCCCTTCAGAGCAAGAGCTCATGGGCTCATTTGAAAATTCTTTTAGTGTTTTCATTCTAGCTCGTGGCATCACATTATATTTTGGTGTATAGAAAGCACAGTATGTGAGGAGGATAATATCATATCAAAAAGAACCCTGGAGATAGCTTTAAAGTATACCAGTTAGCAACTCGGCAGAGAACCTTCCATCAAACAACCTGAAGTGAGGTTGCTTTGTTCATTAAACTGACCTACATGAACCATTATTGCTATTTGGCTCTGAATTATTAAAAATCAGTAGCAAGATTTAGCACACCTCTAACTCCAGGCTCTCCTGTTCTTCAAGATAAAAACAGTCTCTCTTTGAGCTAGTTAGAAAACATATGTGAACGTCCTAGCACTCAGCTTCTCGTGATAACCTTGTTAGTGTCTATATAACTGCATGTATCCACTCAGCATGACATCCTTTTCCATTTCTCTTTATGAATAATTTTGTTATACCTCATCCATTTTCCAGTGCTCTTTATTACAGCATGCTACTACATTTATTAGAGTTCCCATCAGAGAATTCTTCTTCTTGTTATCCTTAATAGTGCCATGTACTGCCCTCTCTTGACTGTAAACCTGGTGCTGTTCAAAGCACATGTGTTAGTTTATAACCCTTGCATTTTAAATTCCTGCCAAGAACTTCCTTAGTGAAGAATAAGTTTGCAATAAATATCCACACCACACACACACACACACAGGAAACACCTCCACCATCATCACCACTGCTATTAGAATTACAGCACCAACGACTTGCCTTTCAACCCACAACATCAGAAAACTCACAGGTTAATAACTTATTCATTTAAACCTATTATGACCAGGCACTTCAGCAGGCTCTAAGCATCGGGTGCTCTCATTTGATTCCAGAGCACATACTTGGACTTGAAGCTTTGGTTCAACAACCTTGCTGCCCTGGATTTTTATTGTGTGGACTACCTCACCCTGACTACAGGCAGTGAACGGCTGAGGATAAGTAGAAACCTCAGTTTTGACATCTTCTCTCTAGTCTAAATTGAAATCCTTTTGAGGTTGGCCAGGTTTGGTATTAGTTGCTTCACACTGGTAACTTGCCTCTTTTGGGCTTCTTACAAGATTACATTTGAAACACAGCCATTGATACACAGAGATCATGGAAAATGAGTGGGGAGCATGTCATTTTGTTCTTTAATCTGTATCTGTATCTGAAGAGAAGCTTCTTCTCCCAAGGATCAGAGTGGTCAACCTCAGTTTATCTTCTGTTCTTCAGAGGGAGGAAGTAAAGTGATTGGAAAGGGAGGAGCATTGCCAACAGGAGCAAGAGGAGAAAAGTAGGCATCAGAAGGAGAAACGGGGGAAAACCATTACTACCACACACACACACACAAACAAATCTTTCAGCAATGGAGTCTGCCAAATGTATATTTACATACAACCATAAACATTACTAAAAGCTTTCACCGCTTTTGCTTCAAGTAGATTTACTCCTTCTTTCTCCAAACGATAAAATGTATTGTTACAGGAAGACGTAAGTGCAGAGATGCTAAATATCTTATGATTTTTGGAGCTCACAAAAACCCATGTTATGCAGCCGATTCCCCAAAGTCCTAATAGATAGTGAGAGGCATTCATTGACAATAGTAAGAGTACCAGGTGATGAGGGGGAATTCTCCTGGGCTTCATTCATAATTAGATTCTGCTTTGATTCCCAGAGATGTGTATTCACTTCCACCAACTCCAGGAACTGCTCTACATATCATCAGGAGCAGTCTTTCAACAGTCAAGAGATGCATCTCTCTGCCTCCTATTGTTATTTAGCTTTTACTATTATTCTATACTAAAACTTCTGTTGCTGCCTTTTTCTCCCTCTTATCACTGTCGATGTCTAGAAATTATACATCAGCTGCTTTCTGTGAGGAGGTAAGACTACTAGCCTTGGCAAAGGTTAGCAACCATTTCAAGATGGCAAACAGAGGTGGCAAATTTAGAAACAAAATATCCAGAGTTAGGAGGAGCTTGAAAGGAATTTATCCCAATTGGTTATTTTTAAACTTTTATACAATGACTGTCAGAATGGTAGCAGTCCTTTTTGTTTTCTTTTTTTTTCTTGGTCGTCTATGAAAGACAAACATTTTGTACCGCTTTTCCCCTTCCCATATCCACCTACTTCCTGATATTGAGGTCTCTACTGCTGTATCCATAAATACTGCTTGCATGAGATGTTTCATTTTCAGCAAACTAGAGGTAGATTCTTGTGTCTAATTAAAAGAAGTCTGCCAATCCCTGCAAGTATTTAGACAAATTCTGGAGTATGCTCAGAGATGAAGCTCCAGTGATGTCTTAGAGGAAAGTTTGATATTAGTATTTGAGATATAAGAAGAATTGGCTCATGAAATCTTAGTGTAAGGAGACCTCTCCAACTAGAACTATATTGTGTAAAAGAGAGACCAAGTGAAATGGGCCCAGGACATGGAAAAGTCAGCTGCACAATCAAGAGACGTACTAGAGGAAGAGAATCCAAGAAAATGAAAAACCTTCCAAGAGATCTGCCATGCTGGTGGTCACAGAAGACAGAAGAAGAAACCAACCAACGAACAAAAGAGGCATAAATGTCAAGAAAATGAAAAGCTTAGTTTTAAGAGAAGAACAACCAAAACTGGGGTTGCATCTGGGATCAAAAGCTGGCAAAAGGAGAACTCATCAGTGACTCAGCATGAAGTAAAGAAGACCAAGTGCAAGGGGCTTTGTTTTTAATATATTTCATTCAGAGTAGGCTCTGTTGGAAGGAGCAGAAAACAGTAACAGAGAAAAGAGGAAAACAGTCCATTTTTAAAGCCAAAGAAAATCTTGGTCAATTATCACTATGAAATTGTTCAAAATAGATTAAAGATAAAATTGATTACTATTTGATGACAATTGATTTGTACATAACGCGAAATTTTCAGTAGACTCACAAAACTGCCCAAAGATGCACATGAGTTTCTACTTAGATAAACACAAGTGGCCAAAGATGTCTTCCCTCTGGAGGCTCTCTGAGTCTCTGGATAAGACTTAAGCGACCTAGCTCTCTTACTTCCCAAGCCCTCCCCTAATCAGAAGGTCATGGGTTTTTTACTCTTGCTTTTTTGCTCCCATATCACCTCATTTGTTTCATAAAAATGTTTTAATCCAGCAAACCATATTTTTTCATTTTGTTAATAGTAAGGCCTTATCATGGTAGATCCCATATTTGATCCAATGGTTAAATTTATTCTTGAATGATCATTTTCCTTATCCTCATTACTCACTGGTGAACCCTCTCAGAAAACTTGAGAACTTAGAGAAATTCTTTATCTCTACTTCTTGAGCCAACTTGGAAGCAAGTTAAGAAATATTATGGTTAGGTAAAATTCTGAATCCTTGTGATGATTATAACATTTTTCCCATAACTGCTTGCGTGTGTCCCTGATGGTAGATGATTAGAGTGGGTCAAAGAAGGTAGCTTATTAACATTCTTACAGCTATACTTTTTATAAATATTATCCAGCTTCTCGACCTGTCCTACCACAACAAATAAGCCCCATCACTGCCACATTCTTCTCCACATTGAGTTCTACCTGTCCTTTGCTCATCCACTAAAAATCTTAAATGCCAAATGCAAATTCTTATAATATGCCACCTACAAAGCAGGTGTTATTTATTTTTATCTCCAGCTTTGTAGCTTTTATTAATTTCCCCCATGTTATGAAGAATATGTATTTCCTTTAAAAAAAAACAAATTTACTATAGTCTCCATTTTTCTCCTTAAATTTTATAGTTATTTTCTTTATCGATAGTTATATAATTCCTAGACATTAACATGTGTGCCTAAGTAGCTGCCACTGAAAGTCTACTCTTCGGTTTTACTGAATGTACTGCTACTATTTTCCTATAGCCTTTTACATTCTGGGAACACACATTACTGAAGCAATTCAAGCCTTGAAGGTAAATGGAGTTCTCACTGCAATTTCTATTTTGGACTTACCCCTATAAGCCTTTAACTAAGATTCCTAGTGAAGATTGCACTCTCTGATCACCCAGAACCAACTGAGGGCTATGGGAAGATTCATGAATCTTAATGATAGCCAGTATGCCACAGCTTGAATATGTAGCTATATTGTTTATATGAAAGTTTACATGATTAAATGGAAACATATTGATAAGTCAACTTTTCTTCATGGATTTCTTGTTATGAAAGACTTTTATGTTACCTGAATCAAATAAAATAGTCCAAACAGAAACAGCTTGTTTGCTTAATGGACTGTGAAAGTAGGACCAATGATTGCACTTGTAATTTCTGGCACTAAGACCTTCAAACATTTAATAAAATCATCACATTGCTAAAATTTCTTCTCTTGCTTCTGTGCCCTGTTACAGCTCAGAGATTTAATTTCAATAATGAGATCAATAGTGTGATGAGAAGATTGTGGCTTTCTTTTCAGGGATGCATTACACAGAGAAATAAAATGAACTCCTTTCTCAGCTGGTATGATGAAGGGTATAAGCAGTGACTTATGTGACTGGTGTAAGCAGTCACAATCCCTTTGGACAATCCTTGTGTGTGTGCGTTTAGATGCTTATTTGTGTCTGACTCTTTGTGACTTTATGAACTATAGCTCACCGGGCTCTTCTGTCCATGGGATTTCCCAGGCAAGAATACTGAAATGGGTTGCCATTTCCTCCTCCAGGGAATCTTCCCAGCCCAGGGATCAAACCCTCATCTCCTGAGTCTCCTGCATTGCAGGCAGACTCTTTACCATTGAACTAATAGGGAATACTACTTGAAGGACATATTGACTCCTTCATTCACTGCTTTCCAAATCTTGTGGACTGTTCATTTCTACACTTAAAATATTTAAGCACCAGAAACCAGTCTTCTATATATGTACCTTATTTGTTAATTACATTATGTGATAGTCTCTGAGTACCTTAAAATATATGCACAAAATATAAGTTTACAATAATGGAATGAAGATTATTTTAAAGGTCATTAGCTAATATCACAATTCATATTTTCTATTTGAAGCTCATTGTCATGATAATGGATGATAATCTGTATTTCAAGTACCTTTTCTTGATTTTTTTAAACTCATTTTGAAAGAATATTGGAATATCCAAATAAATTTTCATTGTTTTTAGTTCCTGAGTTTATTCTGTGAGTGGAGATATCAGCTGTATATGTTTCCTATATCATCTGTGCTTGCTTTACTGGTATTATCTTTAGTCAACATTGCTTCCTTACTGGAAATTTTGTGAACTGCTTGCTAATTTAGAAGTATTGGGCAGCTGAGTTGCTTCAGTCATGTCTGACTCTTTGAGACCCTTGGACTGTAGCCTGCCAGGCTTCTCTGTCCATCAGATTCTCCAGGCAAGAATACTCAAGTGGGTTGCCATGCCCTCCTCCAGAGGATCTTCCTGACCCAGGGATTGAACCAGTGTCTCTTATATCTCCGGCATTGGCAGGTGGGTTCTTTACCACTGGTGCAAATTGGGAAGCCCTTAGAAGAGTTAGTTTAGTTGAAATCTGATAACATAATCTGTGAATTCTCATCACTGGCCCTACACCAACTGGAAAATACTACAATGCAGGTAAAATAAATGAGTTGAAGAGGACTCTGTTAAATATTTTGCCTTATAGAATTATTACCCTCTTCAAAGAACTCTTGAGAGTCCCTTGGACTGCAAGGAGGTCAAACCAGTCATTCCTAAAGAAAATAAGTCCTGAATATTCATTGAAAGGACTGATGCTGAAGCTGAAGCTTCGATACTTTGGCCACCTGATGCAAGGAACTGACACTTTAGAAAAGAACCCGATGCTGGGAAAGATTGAAGGGAGGAGGAGAAGGGGACAAAAGAGAATGAGATGTTTGGATGGCATAACTGACTTGATGGACATGAGTTTGAGCAAGCTCTGGGAGTTGGTGATGGACAGGGAGACTTGGTGTGCTGCCGTCCATGGGGTCATAAAGAGTTGGACACAACTGAGCGACTGAGCTGAAGGACCTTAAAACATGGACTGAGTGAGATTTATTTTAATTTCTTACTAGATTTTTCTTATAAGTTAACTGCATTCTTTTTTGTAATATGTACAATAAACATACTTAAAAGCTTCAATATTTTCTTTCTGTATCTTAATGGATCATTTTATACAATGGGTTATTATTATTTTTATTATTGATGATATTAATGTTAAGATTTCCATTCATCTTTTTAGGATGAGGGTGTAATACAGAAAGCTGTTTGGAGAGCCTTGTGTATGCAGATGTGACTTGTCCACTGGAGACGTCTGCTTTATGACAACTTCTCAGAGAACTCTCTTTAAAGGTATGCTGTTTCTCTTTTAATTTTTAATAATCTTTCTGGATGATTTTATAAACACTGAAAATGCCAGATATACCACCAACCTGAACTTTACTTCTGTGCTACAAACCTAGTATGTAATAATTACCTATTGGGTATCTCCACATGAAAATCCTACATTTCCAAAATTGAATTTACCTTTCTGATTAATGGTTTTACCATCCACTTTCTACCCAAGCAAGAAAGGTTGGCCTTTTCTCTGCTTGCCTTATTCATGACCACTTTGCTTGCCTCATTCATTCCTTTTATTCCACCTATTAACATCTCCTCAAGTTGCCACTCTGACTGTCTTATTTAATGCTTTTGTTATTTCTTCTGAAATGATAGCAAGTTGCCTGCTGATTTCCTCCAGTCTTATTACCATATAAAAATTGATCTTTATCAGAGGAAAAATTACATGTCTCCACTTTCAAAACTCTGCATGAATGGTTCCCCTTTTCCCACAAGATACGAGAGTTTGCTTCTCAAGGGCACAAAGACTTTCTAAGACCTGGGTGCTGCCCTCTTTTCCTGCCTTATTCCTTGACACCCTTCTTTCACGCTATGAGATCTTGTCATTCCAAACTATTTGAAAATACTGAAGGTAACATGGTTTTCCATAGATCCATCATTTTAGGCTTAAATGTCTTCCAACTTCTATTTATGTTTATCTGGAAAACTACTCACTTGAAAACCTAAATTCTCCATCTCTAAATTCAGCAGGCAAAATGCCATTATTTTACCCAAGCATATATCTTTTAATTATTTTAATGGATTTACTTATATTCTCACTTAGCTTATGGTGAGTATCTTTTTAGGAGGATCCATTTCTTATCAATGTTGATAGACTATAGCACAAAAATCTAGTATATAATAGCAAAACGTATCATTAGCAGTATGTATCAGGAACTGTTCTAGGTGCTGAGCATTCAGGAGTGAACAGACTATACAAAAAAATTTCAGTTGTTGCAATCCACATTGTAAGCTACAATGGTTGTTATCATATATTATAATTTATATAACAATATATGATAGTTTATACCACACTGATGCAAAAAAATTGTCCCAAACAGCAAAATTCATTTTAGAGTCACCAAGCTGACTGTAGATTGAAAATTAACTCTTCCTTCAAGCAAGAAAACTCATATCTTGTAATCAGATCAAGAAAATGTCATATTACTGAATGCATTTTATATGGCATCAAATTTCTTTTAATAAAAGACAGATTTATATAAAATGAAGCACATTACCTTTAAATACCTTTTTTGGGCTAATGTTTACTAACCTGTACCTTTTGAGTATACTTGCTCTGACAACTTTTGTTGTTTTTTTTTTGTTATTGTTGTTCAATTGCTAAGTCATGTTCAACTCTTTGTGACCCAGCGGACTGCAGCATGACAGGCTTCCCTGTATGTCACTATTTTCCGGAGTTTGCTCAAATTTGTGTCCATTGAGTTAGTGACACTGTCTAACCATCTGATCCTCTGCCCCCCTCTTCTACTTTTGCCTTCAATCTTTCCCAGCATCAGGGTCTTTTACAATGAGTACACTCTGAATCAGGTACTTGTGTGCTAAGTTGTTTCAGTCGTTTCCGATTCTTTGTAATCTCATGGACTGAAGTCAGGTGGCCAAAGTATTGGAGCTTCAACTAGTCCTTCCAATAAATATTCAGGTTTTACTTCCTTTAGCACTGACGGGTTTGATCTCCGTGCAGTCCAAGGGACTCTCAAGAGTCTTCTCCAGCAACCACAATTCAAAAGAATCAATTTTTTGGTGCTCAATTCTTTACAGTCCTCCTCTCACATCCATACATGACAGGAAAAAACACAGCTTTGACTATATGGACCTTTGTCGTCAAAGTGATGTCTTTGTTTTTTAATATGCTATCTAGGTTTGTCATAGCTTTCCTTCCAAGGAACAAATGTCTTTTAATTTCATGGCTGTAGTCACAGTCCTCATTGATTTTGGAGCCCAAGAAAATAAAATCTGTCACTGCTTCCACTTTTCCCCCTTCTTTTGCCATGAAGTAATGGGACCAGATGCCATGATCTTAGTTTTTTGAATGTTGAATTTTAAGCCAGCTTTTTCACTCTCTTCTTTCACTCTCATCAAAAGTTCTTTAGTTTCCCTTCACTTTCTATCATTAGAATGGTATCATCTGCATATCTGAGGTTGTTGATATTTCTCCTGGCAATCTTGATTCCAGCTTATGCTTCATCCAGCCTGGGATTTCACATGATGTACTCTTCATATCTGTTAAATAAACAAAGTGACATTATACAGCATTGACTAACTCCTTTCCCAATTTGGAACCAGTTTGTTGTTTCATGTGCAATTCTAACTCTTGCTTCTTGACGTGCATATAAGTTTCTCAGGAGACAGGTAAGGTGGGCTTCTATTCCTATCTCTTTGAGTGTTTTCCACAGTTTGTTGTGATACACAGAGTCAAAACCTTTAGCATACTCAATGAAGCAGAAGTAGATGTTTTTCTGGAATTCCTTTTCTTTGTATATGATCCAGGGAATGTTGGTAATTTGATCTTTGGTTCCTCTGCCTTTTATAAACCCAGCTTGTTCTCAGATAACTAGTTCTCTGATAACTAGCATTAGTAAATAATAAACATTCAATAGTTATTTGAGAGTATAACTAAATAAAAATAACTAATGATCTCGGATCCAGAATCCACAATATTTTTATATTTCTTATAAGGCACAAATCCAGATTACAAGGGGAACAAGCTACAGCGAGTGGTTAGTTTCACCACATACATCTCCCATGATTCTCAGCGTTCTACCTCAGTCTTTGCAAATCACAGCACTACAGGCCTGCTGATGCTGGCTTTCACAGTTTAAAAAGTTTTGCCAGATATAACACCGATGCATTATTATGTGTCAGATCTTACATGAAGCATTTTTTCCCCTAGTTTTATTGAGATATAACTGACATAACATATGCAGTATTTTATATGAATTGTCTTGTTGAATCCACAACTCCATGAACTAGATTCTATAATTCTTTATCTTTTACATGAGTAAATTGAGACTCAGTAAGGCTTATTGATCTGCCCATTATCACTGTGTTAATGACTAACAGAGTAAGAATTTGAACTCAGAGCAAGAATCTGAACTTGAAATGCCCCTAAGTTGACTCTAACTTCTGCTTCACTGCAACTCATACAAGGCACTAATGCTGAAGAAGAGATCTCACAGGTTAATAAAATCACCAAACCCTAGATAGGCAAACCTATCCATTATCTACTAGGATTGAGGTGTGTGCACAAATAGCAGAGTTAAGAGGGGAAACAGGAGGGGAAAAGTGCTCAATGTGAGCTGAATATGGAAGTTATCAATCTTCAGCCTCAAAAAGTTTCACATAAGAACTTGTCATTGGCGCAGGAAGAATGAAGAGGAAATAGTTCCGTACTGCCTATTGTGGAAATTGTTTGTGGGAAAATACGTCAGAGCTACTTTTTGTTTCTGCTTCATGTCAGTTTCAATTCATGCTGGCATGCTCCATGTTAAAGGGTCCTGATGGTGTTTGGAAGCAGTGGAGTAGGCTGGGTAGGAGGGCCAGAAGTGCAGCTCTGCAAGGGAAACTGAGTAGATTTAGTATAAACTGGTCTACTAAATTAGCTCTAATTACCAAACATAGCCTTGATAACTGAGACCTAGGCAATTAAGTTTCAAATGAATTTGATTTGTTGAGTTTACAACAAAATGAGAAAAAAGGAACATGAGAGTGAATGATTGGAAAGGATGATGATAAGAAAATGAGTGAAAGGTGAGCCAGAAACAAATTCTACCTATCTCTTCTATATGACAACTAATATTTCCATGACTTAGAAAGTTAGGAACTCCTAAAGGTAGTTCAGTTCAGTCTCTCAGTTGTGTCCAACTCTTTGCAACCCTATGAACCGCAGCACGCCAGGCCTCCCTGTTCATCACCAACTCCCGGAGTTCACCCAGACCCATGTCCATTGAGTCAGTGATGCCATCCAACCATCTCATCCTCTGTCGTCCCCTTCTCCTCCTGCCCTCAATCTTTCCCAGCATCAGGGTTTTTTCAAATGAGTCAGCTCTTCTCATCAGGTGGCCAAAGTATTGGAGTTTCAGCTTCAACATCAGTCCTTCTAGTGAACATCCAGGCCTGTCTCAAAAATGAGCTCATTATTATAGTAAGAGCCCGTGTCTTGGAGTCATACCTATGCTCAAGCCTAGGTTCCCTATCTAACTAATTCTGCAAGTTTATCTTATTTGGACCTCTTTCTCTTCTTTTAAATGGGAATGCGAGTATTTATCTCTCAATATTATTGTGACATAATGTGTAACGACCACAGTACAGGCCTAAAACATAGTAGAGATAAATGTACCATTGGAAAAAAAATTCACAAATGCTCATAGCACACACACACACACACACCCACACTCACACCACACACATCACTGGCTTAGAGGGAGGGAGAAAGAAAAAGAAGCAGGCACTTTTATAATGTGAAAAATAGAAGCATTATGCTTTGACTCCATTTTTTCCTATATGTCATGCTAAAGATTTACAAAGATCTTTAGAAAGAGATTATCATTCAGCAGTCAAAGAACTCAAAGGGCAGCTTCTTACAAACACCAGCCTGCCAAGGCTTTGTTGAGAAAGTGCCCTGTCTACCCACTAAACTGATTCTTATCTTTGGGGAAAGTTGTTTAGAAGAAACTTCATGTTTTCTTTACAGCCAATCATATCTAATCCTAAATGATAAGACCCTTTGAGAAGTGAGATCTGAGACTAACATCTGCTTGAGACTCAGGTTAACCAAGATCAAAACCATGATCTCTGCTAGATACTTTACCTTGCAGTCCAACGCACACCCTCTACTCTACTTTGGAGTCAGCTTTGTCTGTCTGCCTCTCCCTTTCTGGGTGTATGATGGCATTTCATAGAGTTCTGTTTCTTGTCCCTAGACTGTGTCGAACAAAAATATAAAAGTGAGAAAT